TCTCAAAAAAGATTATGTCAAAAGAAAAGGAAATATGTATTATTAGTAGCAAGAAAGTTAAGCACACTCCAGAGCTCCATGCTGGCTCTGTGTGAGGGCCCCTGTGTGCACATGTCGGAAGCCTTAGGGGTGGTCTTGGACGGCTAGGCTGCGGGGTTAGGCAACTAGAGGGAAGTAGGAATGGCTAAGGACCTGAAGCTACTAACATGCATCAGAGGGTCAGAACTAGGATAGATATAAAGTGACCGTGACAAGTGGAACTAGACTGTTTGCAGACCCGGCAGCACTGCCTCTCAGGAGAACAGGGTCTGTTGGTGACCTTCTTCCTGGGTGGGCACAGGGCCCCTTGCACGGCTTCCTGCTGTGGTGCAAACCCACGTCCCCACAAAGAGAATGCAGGACTGCCTGGGGCCAGCGGTAGGAGAGAAATAGTCTGTGGACTGAGAAGTGCATCCAGGCTGAAAACAGGAGGGGCGCCACCTGTAGGAGTAGAGTGAGAAGTAATTTGTATCTTACCTAATGAGACTTAGGTCTTAGGCTGAAAACACAATGTTCCTTATCAACAAATTGTTATAATAGCATTTTCCAGCAGAGGGCAGACTTTACATTGAAATAGCTCTAAAAAGGCCTTCAATCAAGAGCTTTTCAATATAATTTTTTTTAACTTCAAAATATTTGGTTTCTAAATGGGTTTTAAATATTTCAAAGTATTTAAGGTCCAGAGGACGTTAAATATGAAATTTATCAGATTCCAGTTAATATTTCTGCCTTATTAGTAATAAAAATGTTCAAGTTCTGCTTGCAAAGAAGCAGTTTTTATGGCTTATGGACTGGTCGTAGACACTATCGCCGTAAGCAAAGCTGTTCTTTTTTGTGTTGTTTACAAAATTATTACAGAAAATCCCATCTTTTAACTGGATGAGTAACACTTTACTTCATTTCCATACAGTTTGATATGAATAACTGCTATTCTTTAACAGAAATAACCAGCATTTTCTGATCCGTTTCATAACTAGCTTTGGTATTTTTCCTAGAGGAAATAAGACCTATATAAAAGTTAACTAAATGTATTATGTAATAAAACTCCAATATTCAAAGCCTCTTTAAACTGCAACTTCACAAGAATTTCGATGTTTCTCTTCATGATTTATTTCTTGATAAATTCTCACAATAAATGAGAAAGTAGAAACTACTATTTGTATTGCAAATTTTTAAAAGGTTAAATAAATCACTTGTTAGCAGTGGCTGAGAGTAGATCTGGAGACCGATCTGTCTGACTCCATAGCATGCACTCTTTTCATGGCAACCCTCAGTCTCCAATTGACTTGATTTTATCTGATCTATTTTAAAATCATAGACACATGACTTTTTCCATTAGGACATCAGTTCATATTGACATACTGTGAAAAGTACAGAGTGAAACAAGATATTTCTATATAGTCCATTGCAGGAATTCTTGGCTTATAAACTCAATAGGTTGGTTTAATTTTGGTATCACGTAAGCACTTTCTCGATCTGGCTTTTTGGGGTGTGTGTGTGTGTGTGTGTGTGTGTGTGTATAACATAACTTTTAAAAATGAATACAGGAAGTGTGTGTGTATAACATAACTTTTAAAAATGAATGCAGGAAGAAAATCAAATCTTTCTCCTATTATTAAAGTTATTTCCAAGAGTACTTATCTTTCTTCTATTATTAAAGTTATTTCCAAGAGTACTTATCTTTCTATGAAATAAAAATATGTCAAATGCATAAGCATTTGCGGTCTAGGAAACAGACTTATTTTTGTACTGAGAAACTGGAAACATATATCCTTAAAATGACAAATGGACCTCTGATATTCACTTTCACTTTCATATGATCTCTAGCAGAATTATTGCAATTAATTTTGTCAACAGGATACAAATATTCTTTTATTTGTGTGCAGAAAATAGTTCCAACATAAGTGTGGATATTTAAATGTAAAATAAACAAAAGTCTATGGATGAAATCAGAAATATTAGCAAAATAAAAAATCCAACTTTTTCTTGCAAAGACAAGCTGTTTCAAGATTGATAGAAAATTTGACATTACAGTGAAAATGTCTAGATGCTTAAAAAACAACAACTTTACTTCACTTAGAAGTATGGCTACAGGATTGTCTGCTTGTTTACAAAGCGTCTCATAGACTATCAGCCATGCCTAGTGTTGGGTAAAGACACTGGGATACTGGACATAGAATCAGATAATGGGACTTCCAGCTCTGCCCTGTTCTAGCTATGTGATCTGAATCACTGATCGAACCTCTCTGAGCTGTGGTTTCTCACCTAGAACATGGAGGTGATAATGGGCATGTACCACATAGGATGCTGAGAGTTTAAAATGTCATTTATATTACATCTGTGAAAGCACAAAGCTCAGTGACACATTGCAGATTTATTGATTAGATGAAAATAATCCAAATCGCAAACTTAATCAATCCTACCCTATTTTGGGTAGAAGCTGTCTTTAATGTTCACTAATTATTTGCACGCGTTGCATGAAATAGGTTCCCCCAATCGTATGCATGTTAGAACAAAGCTTGGGGAAAATCTTGACTATACACTTACATGGAGCAGGTTTAAGTTTGTGGTTTAACTGTTAGTGATTAGAAAACAAAATAGAAATAAAATATAATTTCCATTTGGATTACACTTAGTTGGAAACTTAAAACTACAGTGTTAGATTGTAGATAATATTTGTTAGTATTGATCCGTATTTTGGGTATTGTTTTCAGGTCTCAGTACCACATTTAATACAGCATATGAAAAACATGTCAAAATTAATTTTTTTTGTCTCTAAAATCTTGGTCTATACATCTAAGTTTGGGAGTTATCCTTGCAATGGTATTTTCCCCATCTCATTTTACACCTTGCCTTTTTCTTACAAATCACATTCTCTTTTCATCAGTACATCTGCCCAAAACACTGTTCTACTTGACAGCTCTATCCCGCACTCGCCTCCCAGCTCCTAACAAGGCATACCTCTGGGAATTGCAAAGTGCCATGTTTAAAATCTCTCAGTGAGATGTACAGGTTTCCCCGTGTGATCATAAGGGATTCCTCAAATCCGAGTTTTAGAGCTAATCTACCACAACTGATAAGCACAGTATTTTCACATTAGTATATTTATGTTGTGCTAATGTACTTAAACAGTATGTGTGTCCATTGAGAATTTTTCTACAAATTTCTTAATAGCATTCTCTTAACTTTGAAGAGAGATACCTCACATATCTGACTGGCACCGGCTGTAATTCCATTCTTTCCTAAGCTAAACTGGTTTACCTGGGTTGCCAGGGGAAGGTCATAGATGTCACAGATGCCCAATGGAATACTAGTCGGCAATAAAAAGGCACAAATTGCTGATAGAGAGAATAACATGGATGCATCTCGAACTGCCTACGCTAAGTTAAAGCCAAACATAAAGGCTACACATTCCATAAATCTATTTATATGATATTTTGGAAAGACAAAAGTATAGGGATGGAAACCAAGTCAGTGACTGCCAGGGGACAGCAGGAGGGGGCTGACTACAAAGGAGGGTGAGGGGTCTTTATAGATGATGGAAACATCTTGACTGTGATGGTGGTGACGAACTGTATACATTTGTCAGACTATATACCTAAAAAGAGTCACTTCCAGTGTGTAGGTATAATTGAAGACACCTGACTTTAAAGATATAAATGGCTAAAGAGAAGGTACCTGCAGTTTTAGAGAACTGTATATTGTCTCCTTCCAGAGAAGTTTGGCCATAACATCTGATGTGTATATTTTTCACCCATTTCTATTTCCAGCCCAAATGTGTGACACCCAGACCACTTTCAATGGATAAAGACTACATTAATATACATAACTTATTTAGTGCATTTAGCAGCTTTAGCATGAAGTAATAGTTATCTAACAATTATAAGTATTATGAAATGTTATTAATTATAAGAACATTATTAAGTGAAACTCTTGACCTATTAGTATGCCAAATGCTTGCATTTTATTTCATTTTCCAATCATCAGAATTAAGCTAAAGTGCTCAGAGCTGACTGTACCTACATTATTGCATGACTATCCTGCCTGATGAGGGGAATTGTCCTAGCCTCATTTTAAATAGAGGAAGTCAGGCACAGCGCAACTGCAACAGCAAATGTCACAGATCTTCGGATTCCAAAGCCAACATTTGCGACCATCTTTCATTTATTGTTACCAGTTTAGCAATAGTTCTGATCCTTGAGGAATGGACTGCAAACATCCTTGGAAATAAACTGTAAGGAGGGAAGTCTTCCCTTGGAAAGATTTCCAAAAAGAATTGATGCTGAGTACTAAGAACAGAAAATGGGGATTGACACATGAATGGTGTGCCCTTGCCACTCACATTCACTGCAACCCATTCACAGAAGCATAGTTTAATTACAGTAAAAAAAATTATTTGCCACCTCACATAAGCTCCAGTACAACTGCAGTGCCAGGCTTTAATGATATTCTTCCTGAGCCAATTGTTTTTAATATCTTACAGTTATGTTTGTTACTGAACTGCTGTTTTCATAACTAACGAGTAAATCCACGTTCTTTATTAATTTTTTTTACTTTATTCATTACCTACCATTTTACGTGAAAATAACTCAGTGGTTTCTATATAATATATTTTTTGTTTAAATGACATTGTCAAGCCTAGATGTTTTCTTGGACAAAATTTACATGCAGGGGGGCTGACAAAAATCATAAATCCTTACCAGTTTGCATGAGCTCTCATATTGGACGTATGGTACTTTAAGTAGATACATGCACTCGATTCACTACCCGCAGCTTCTCATCCACAGTGGAGTGTTTAAATGCAGCTTGCCAGAAACTCTTACCTTTTGTGCATAATTATCTGGGTGTGCCTTTCTTACTTGCACTGAACTGTATGTACTGTGTGCTGTAGAGGTGTGTAGTTAAAATATGTTTATTCTCAGAAATATTTTAAAAATATTTTAAAATGTTTTCCTTTGCAGAATCAGACACAAGTTTGGCAGAAGGAAGTGTCAACTGCTTAGATGAAAGCCTTGGACATAACAGCAACATGGGCAGTGATTCAGGCACCATGGGAAGTGATTCAGGTACTGCCTCACTGTTGTGTAAACCTTAACAAGTGTGAAATAAGACACCATAGAGTGGAAAGCATGGGGCTGTTCATACCCTCCCTAATGTATTTATGCAATTAAAGCAATTCTTTTCTACAGTGGAAGGAGTTCTGGAACTTTGCCATTCACATCCTTTAAAAGTACAACTTACAAAAGTCTTAGCATCAAGCTCTCTGATTTTGATCTAGTACATAGCTTTTTGGTCTGGCATATGCCACATTCCATAGAATCAATGTTATCTAGTTTATTTATGAAATCTGTTTCAATTAATTTCACTGTCTTAAATCCTGTATGCAATTTGGTACTTGTATTCCCAAACCCTAATCTTTTTTTATTTTATTAAAATACATTTTAAATAAAAACTTTAAGCGTTCTTCTTTAAATGAAGAACTAGAAATTACATATGCAGTTAAGTAGTTCCAATTTGTATGGATATCTCTTGCATAGGAGTAGCGTTTGCAAATGTTTTTGTCACTAAATGCGAATTTTGCTAGGTGTTTCCCAAATTGCTCTCCGCGTTAGCTGAATGCACCCCCCAGCAATAAATAAGTGTCTCCCCACATGTGAGCAACACTTTCTGTTGTCAGATTTCCTAACTTTTGCCCATCTGATCAATTTCAAATCTCTTCTTCCTGTTCTTTGAATGTGTGTTTCCATTATTATTACTGAGCTAAAATGTTAACATCTTTTCAAAATGGGTGATGGGCCCTCGATGTCTGTCACACACCTTTCTAAATTTGGCTCTATGTTTAAAATAAATCATCATTAAAACTAAGAAATTTTTAAAAATGCTTTGCAATGTGGCCAGCTAAGAAGCAGTAGAGAATTGGCAAATTAAGAAACAAATTACGTTAATCTTTATTTGTTTTGTGGTTGAGTTGTAGTAAACACTTAGAAAATACTGTGTACTTCAGATTGTCCTGCATTCTCAGAAGAATTATAGAAATTTAGGTCCACAATAGGTCTAAAAGGTCAAAATAATTTACATAAGGATGTTCTGCTGCCCTAAAAGATTTCCAAATTGAAGTGTATCACTTCTTTTATTTACGTGTTGTTTCTCTCAATAAGACTTCTGAATCCCTCGTTACAAACAAGTTGGCTTGAGGAAACCCAATTCATCAAATGTCAGTCATAACATTAACTTTAACTAAAAAGGGTTAATTCATTTTCTGTCCAATTCAGTCAGTGTTTACGAAGTTCTTGCCATGTGCTTATTTCTGTGGATTATATCTAGTTTTTTGTATGCCTGTTATACAATTGTTTAATTTAATTATGATTTTAAAATTAAATGCTATTGATTCTAGAATTCAAAATATAATCTAGCTAATATGTATCATTTTATGGGTAGTTTTAAACTTCTGGAACTCATCCTAATTTTTGTTTGTCTGTGTAAGGGCTTTTCAAGAGTAGTCATTCATTCAGTAAATATTTCATGGCCATCCTCTCTGTGCAGGGCATTTTGTCTAGTTCGAGCTGTTAGCAAATGTAACTGTTTACTGCTTTTCAGTGCTCAGTGTGGCATGAAAGACGTGATAAATCTAAATGCAACCTACTTTTAAAAGCAAATACATTTTCAAAGGCAAATACATGTGAAGACAAACACATTTTCAAAGGCTATCCATTGACGTTTTAGATGGGGGTCAGTGCTTAGGACAAAGAATTGCTTTGCATAATGGGTAGTAGAATTCTGAAATTATAAAATTATGAAAATCTTTTCCCTTAAGTACATGAGATAGGATGAACTAGAAATCAATTTTTTAAAAAGGTTTGGATGAATTGCTAATTGTTAAACACACATGGAATCACTGAAAAGCAGTAATTACCATGTTTGGGATTCTATTTTCACCTTTGAGGCTGACATCAAAGGGATGTTCTTCCACTTGTTGTCCATTTTCAAAGGTTACATAATGGGCCATGAGGATCATGGGCATGACCCAATATCATAACATGTTTCTTTGTGAAGTATTATGCCATAGCAAAAGATAATTAGCGATGCTTTTTAAGTTTTAATATACTAATTATACTATGGAAGGCATTTTGTTTTTCTGTTTCTCATTTTCAGAGAGAAACACAAAAAGTAGCAAATTTTTTTTGGAATACACATTGGCCTGATATGTAGAAAGTGTTTTCTTACTATTTCAAGGTAATACCTATTAATATTTGTCCAGCTGGAATGGCATGTTTTCCTGGTTATATACTATAGGTAAAGGAGTACTTTTTCAATTTCAAACACATGCAGTGACAGACCTTTTCTCTCCAAGAATAACTCAGCTGTCAAAATCAATGTGAGAATGAAATTTGCCACATGGTGTAGTTCCAATAGAATGTTATTATTTAAGCCCTATTTTATTTCATTTTTTGACCATTTATATGAACAGTATAATTTTAAGGTCCTTAATCAGTATTTGTTGCAGAGGAAGGGTGCAAAGTAATTCAAAACCTGTGCATATTTTGAATACCATTTTTATTATTGCATTTAATGGATTTTTCTTTTCAAAGAGAGCCAAAAAGAAACCAACAACAAACAAACAAAACCCAAACATTTTTTTTATAAAGGAAATTGGCTCCTGGCTCATTGACACCAGTCCAGTTCTCTCCTTCTGGTGACAGAAAAGATTTATTTTTATTACTGATGTGGATAAATTCTTCTATCCCTATGTCAGAGGATGTGATAAGGCAAGAATCGGGTTGACTATTTAGCGCTCACCCAGCCCTTTTTCTTTGGATACTATTCTCACAGTGAATCCAACTCTAATTTTTTCCATATTCACTCTGTACTTCTCTGTTAAACTTGAGGACACCCATCAAGTTTCTTAGACTTGACTAAAAAAAATGTGGAAGATTATTAAACTATCTATCTAATAGCCAGATATTTTTTGTGGCAGTAGTACAGTGCCCAAGACTCTAAATTCCTCGAGGACAAGGACTGTATTCTTGAGATCACATGAATATAATAGGCACCCAGTAAATAATTACTGCAGAATGAATTAATGGTACATGACTAGTTAAATAGCAGTGAAATGTCATACTTTGATTCTAGACTTAAATTTGAACATGCCAGCCCTTTCTGTTGTCTAAGTCTTCTAAAATTTATTAGTACAATATTAATATGCATACGTGATATTGATGTTTTATGCACTGATTTAGTTTTAGATTCCTCAGGAAGAGACTCTGGAAATTTCTCTAAGGTTTTATTTTAAATTTTTGTTACCCAAGATTTTACGAATAAGCATGAAAAACAAAAGGGGAAATAATAATTTTAAAAAGTACATGCAGCTATTATGAGGAAAGCAGAATTTTATTATTATTTTTTTAAATCTATGCAAAAGTATACCTAGAGTGAAATTTAAAAAAGGGGGAATTTGCTAATATCATTTGACAAACTTCCTAACTCAAAGAGCAATTTAGCAAAAGTAAATTTCTGGATGGTGGTGGTAAACATAATTTAAAATACATCTTCCTTTTCAAATATTGTGGCTCTTTTAGAAAAGTTATGTGGTAAATGCTCGTAATATAGGTGGAATATTAATATTTTGATAATCTATAAAAGCCATTTAGGAGAAGTAATGAGCCTTTCATAAATATAATAGAAGATGAAATACTATAATTGATGTAGAGTTCAAAAGTAGCATGGGGAGAAAACTTGTAAATGAATATTTTTAATGTTGGTGATTTTGAAAGATTTTTTTCTGAAAATCATATTAGATCATATTAGATGAATCAGCAGCTGATCCAATGATATCTTAAATATATTGCATCTGAGTTTACTCATCCATACAGAAGGCAAATTTCCTGCCAGGTTAGTAGATGACTCTTGCTAAGTGGTGTTTGGTGTGAATTTTCCTACCTGTTCAGATGGTACTATCACAACAAGGTAAAACGCAGTTGAGTGGAATCATCCCTTTGCCGAAATGGAACCATCAGCAACCTTTTTGAAGTTAATGGGATTATGTTAGCTTAGTTTTATTGCGATCATCGATAAGAGAAAGAACACTTACTTCATGTGTCACAAAATACTGATAATTGCTGTCATGTCATTTTTTTCTTATGCTTACATAAAGCATAAGTTAGGCTTTTAAATTGATATAATATTTACTTTCCTGCATTCCACCTGATAAGTTATACATTTTTAGATCTGTTTCCCCCTGCTAATATGGATAAATATGGTCACTTCTAAACAAAACATATTTAAACCGAGATATGCTATAATAATTTTATCCAAATGTTTATAAAATCCATGTGCATTAGTACTTACTTTATCAGTATTTTAAATTTAGAAATGTTAATTAGAAATTCATTAAAGTTTACTGCGCTTTGAGTTTCAGGAGAATAGGAATATGTGGAGACATAAACAATAAAGAAGCAATAAAGATCACAATTCAAAATTAATAGCAAAATTAGTCACAGTACAGTTTAAACTAACAAATTTTTTTTGTCATTCAATGAAAACTTATAAATTAAAGGCTATATGGGATGAGTTTTTCCCTTTCTGCATAAATATTGATTCTGTTTAATTTGGTTGGTTCAAATGCCAACAATTTGATCTTTTTTGGCCATTTTTTATTTTATTTACATATCTTTTAAATATATATTTTATTGATTTCAGAAAGGAAGGGAAAAGGAGAGGGATATAGAAACATCAATGATGATAAAGAATCAGTGATCGGCTGTCTCCTGCATGCCCCACATTGAGCCCGCAACCTGGGCATGTGCCCTGACCGGGAATTGAACTGTGACCTCCTGGTTCATAGGTTGATGCTCAACCACTGAGCCACGCCGGCCAGGCTGCCATTTTTACATATTTGAGATAGATAGATAAGTGGATAGATCAATGTGCAGGCTTTTGGTTGTTTGGTTGTCAAACAAAGTTTTTCAAATGAAGGGAAGTAGCTTCAGCTATAATATCTTTTTGCAATAAAAAGTAAGGGGGATACAGAATAAGGAGGACTGATGGTTCCCACCTACCCAGTCCTCTTGATTTGTAGGTGCTTCCTAAGACATAAGAGAAACACGTAAGGCATAATGGCCCAACAAAGAGATGGAAAGTGTGAAGCATTAAGAGCCATAACTGCCACTCTTGCACCCTTCTGTACTTTGTCCTTGACTCCCGCATGCTGCCCCCTTCCAGTCCTGTGCCCTGTTAATTCACTCCCCCTGCACCCCAGGACAGAGGGCCTGGACTACATCCTGCAAATACAAACAGAGATGATGCCCATTTGGTACAGAAAATAGAAAATGAATTGGTTTGGACCATACATGAAAAGCAATTTAAACACAGAGACCCTATGTTCAGTGTGAGGGCTTCTTAGCCTTAGTCATTTTTGTTGCCCATTCCTTTATTTATTTATTAGAGGCCCTGTGCATGAATTTGTGCACCAGTAGGGTCCCTCAGCCTGGCTTATGGGATCAGGCCGAACGGGCTCTCTGAAATCCCCTGAAGGGTCCCGGATTGCAAGAGGGCGCAGGCCAGGTAGAGGGACTCCACTGGTGCACTATCGTGGCCAGGGAGGGACGTGGGAGGTTGGCCAGCTGGGGAGGGACCACAGGAGGGCTCCAGGGCATGTCCAGCCCATATTGCCCAGTCCTGATCGGCCGGACCCCAGCAGCAAACTAACTTACCAGTAGGAGCATCTGCCCCCTGATGGTCAGTGCACATCATAGCAAGCAGTTAAGTGGCCTTAGCATATCATTAGCATATTATGCTTTGATTGGTTGAGTGGATGACCAGACGACTGGACACTTAGAATGTTAGGCTTTTATTATATAGGATTTCCCTTATTTTTCTTTCTTTTCACCTCTTTCAGATGAAGAGAAAAAGGCAGAAAGAGCATCCCCAGAGCCAGAACTGAATCTCAGGCCGTACCAAATGGAAGTTGCCCAGCCAGCTTTGGAGGGAAAGAATATCATTATATGCCTCCCTACAGGGAGCGGGAAAACCAGAGTGGCCGTTTACATTGCCAAGGATCACTTGGACAAGAAGAAAAAAGCAGCTGAACTGGGAAAAGTTATCGTCCTTGTCAATAAGGTATTCAAACGGCACATAAAATAACATTGTCTATTTTCATTTTATTATTTTGAAACATTTGTATAGTGACATTTGTAACCATAGACCACACAGATTTAGTTTTATTGGGGAAAATGTCAAGTTATTTTATCTTAAATCTTTGCTTTTCAAGTTATATGTAAAATCTTAGTTTTAGCCATTAAAATGGAAATTTTCTATAAAACCAGATTAAGTCAAATAGCTGTAACTTATGTATAAACAATATATTTACCCACATATTCTTTAAGGTTGACTGGTACTAACATAAGTTATTATTGCATGTGAACATAAATGACACAAAAATATTACTGGAATCTAGTATCAAATATTGTCTTCTAGAGTCTCTAACCATTGGCTCTTAGTCAAAGGTGGCAAGTGCTCTTTATCCAGCATATATATATATATATATATATATATATATATATATATATATATTATTTTAAGAGAAAGAGAAAATTAATATTTGGTTGATTTATATAAAGTTAAATAGGTAAATAGTTTTCAAAGATTTTATATATATATTAAATATATAGATATTATTAAATGCAACACAGGTCTTTAATAATTTATAACTTGAGGAATTTGAAAGCCATCCTTATAAATAGGTATAAGTCTCCATTTTATTTTTTATTTTATTTTTTACTTTTAATTTCTTTATTGATTAAGGTATTACATATGTGTAAGTCTCCATTTTAAACAGTGTAGTTATTGAGCTTTATTCAGATAAATGAGAGTTTATTAATTTATGAACTTATAAATTGTGAATAGTAATATTTACCATTTTATGATAATGGATATTTTTCCATTATCAGAAAGTCTATTTATTCCACTAGCTATGATAACTAGATTTTCAGTTATTTCTTTATAGAAAATGTAGCAATAGGCTATGCAACTTTACTGTATCTTTTGTATTTCTATTATAACAGTTTTAGATGCAACCTGCTTTTCAGTACTAAAGAAACTTACTCAGAATCCATGATCTGAATGATTTCCATCATGTCATTCCAAATGCATTTTTTATGCATATGTGCTAAGCCTAAAGACCTCTTGCTTTATACTAGTGTGCACATAATTAAAACAGTTTGATTTCTTTTGTGGTAATTTGTGGTAATGGTGATACAATAGCTTTTCATATATTCCCTTTATTATGGCTATTGTCTTTTGGAATACAATAAATTTAGTGTTTGATCTTGGACAAATTAATAATTTCTCTGACTTTAGTTTCCTCATCTATAAAAGGAATAAAATAACACTACCCTGTATAGATGTTCAGAAGTTTAAATTTGATGATCTATCTATAGCCCAGGAATAACTCAGTGAATATTAGATCTTTCTCCCTCTCCTTCCTCTTTACCTTCATAATGAATGAAATGAAATTTAGTATTCTTTAGCCAGTGAGCAGTGTCAGGTCCAGAAAAACAAAACAAAACAAAAACGTTAACTGAATTCAAAACCACTTCAGTGGATGTTCTTAATACCATTTGAGCTTCACCACTTCCTTAAGGTTAAGTCCCATCTACCCTCCCAAAGAGCTCTTCTACTCTACTCATCTGTTATATCACCTCCGCCAAAGCCTGTAGCCTCAAAAGCTAGGAGTTATTTCTGGTTTATCTGCTTCCTTCACTTCCCTTATCAGGCACAGTGTCATAGATGACTGCACTAGAGTTGAAGGAGGCCTTCAAAATCCAGCTTTCATCCATTGCCAAGTGGTTCCCTCACCTCTGCTGAGTAACTTCTAACATCAAGGATGTCTCCCTCCTAACAAGATATCTCCATCTATTATTTGAACAGCTGACACTGTTAGAAAGCCTATCATGTATTCATCAAAATCTGGTTCTCTGGAATCCACTCTCATTGGTTAGAGTTCTTTCCTCTGTGATGATAAAGAGTGAGTTAAGTTGTAATTCTCTTATCGTATTACAGCCCTCCACATAGAGAAGGCAGCAAGCATCATGCAGCATTTACGTGATTTATCTTCTTGTTCCCTGGGATAAATATCCCCAGTTCCTGTCGCTGTTCTTTATATAACATGGTTTCCAGACTTTCCATCATCCTGAGTGCTCATACTTTTCCAGAATTTTATCTCAGACCCCCTTAAAACACAGTATCCAGTGTTAAACAAAATACTATAGATATAGTCTTACAGTGCAGAGTTTAGGAGAGATGAGATGTAACACTTAGCCCGTGACTGGGTCTGCCTTTGTCACCCAGAGACTCATCTGTGCTTGCTATAACCTAAAAAGCCCAAGTTCATTTGAAAAAGCTGTTAGAATAGAACTCTTAAGTTATGTTTGTGCAGTTATTTTTTGAGCCTAAATACAATTACTTATGTTTATTTTTTCATTAGAGGCCCAGTGCACGAATTTGTGCACGAATGGGGTCCCTAGGCTTGGCTGGTGATTGGGGCTGGCCAGGGGGAGGAACTGCGAGAGGTTGGCCAGCCGGGACGATAGGAGGTTGGCCGGCTGCAGGAGGTTGGCTGTGGGAGTGCACTGACCACCAGGGGGCAGCTCCTGCATTGAACATCTGCCCCCTGGTGGTCAGTGCATGTCATAGTGACTGGTCGACCAGTCCTTCCAGTTGTCTGGTCATTTGGACATAAAGGTCGTGTAGGCTTTTATATAGATATATAGATATATAGAGATATAGAGATATATAGATATATAGATATATAGATATATAGATGTATAGATATATAGATATATAGATATATAGATATATAGATATCATTATGTTAATTGGTCATTCAGGATTAGTGTTCTTGTATGCATCTAATGCATCTTCCTTTTTGTAATAATTACTTGTCCTCTCAATGCTAAGTTCTTGTTACAAATCTTTCATCCCACTGGATCTAGGAGATTCATATGAAATCAAATTTGTAGCCATGTTTAAATGTTAAATTATCATCATTAATTATTCATATCCAATTGCACTGTTCTGTAGATATTTAAGGATGTGACTCTAATTCCTGTTTCCCTACTGTTTTTCCTTAAGAATTACTAGAGATTCCTCCATTAGTTCTTTCATCTATGTCATAATGTTTTCCTTTATTATCCAATTTCTTTGAATTTTAATGTAATGTAATTTTAATTCTTTTTTTATTGAGTCAGGAAATCTGTGGCCCAGTAAGTCAACCTAACCTGCATTCTGTATTTGGCCCAAGAACAAGGTATTACAACCCTTGATCTAGAAAGGAAAAATCCTGTTCCCTAATACCATTTACTTTCATCTTCCTTTCTCCATCCTTTCCAAAGTTATCGCCTTCAAATGCAGGGAGAAATGAAAACACCACCTGTGTTTCCAGACTTTCTATTTCCTATCTAGGGCTTCCACATCATGAGAGATAAATCCCAGGTTCCTTCAGATGCCGTGATGCAGCCCATATGATTCAGCAGAAGTGGGTAGCAGTTGGGTTTGATTAGTCTTGGCAGGCACTCTGTCACATCTCAGGAACAGGCTCCAAACGGACCACACCTCTCCCAATTAGCCATGTCAGACTTGCATCTGGCTTTCTCTTGTCCTTCAACAGGAAGTCATTGCCAACCAGAGTGAGTATCAGGATTTCCAACACCTGCTTCCTCCTGTGACAGCTTCTTTTTGTTCTGTAGATGAGAAGATGCCGATTCTTTGACTCACCCTTTATGGACAGAATCTCAGTTCTCTATGTCATTTCATGGAATAAAGAATCTTAAATTTCTTGGTAGCATGAGGGTATTTAAGGACAAATGAGTCCAGCTGGTGTGACTCCATGATTGAGCATCAGCCTATGAAGCAGCAAGTTACAGTTCAATTCCCGGTCAGGGCACATGCCTGGGTTGTGGGTTCAGTCCCCAGTGTGGGGCATGCAGGAGGCAGCTGATCAATTATTCTCTTTCATCATTGATGTTTCTATCTCTCTCTCCCTCTCCCTTCCTCTCTGAAATCAATAAAAATATATTTAAAAAAATAAAGACAAATGAAATACAGATCATGTCTTTAGCTTACTTTATCGTAAGAATACAGCCACTCCTCAGACAGAGGTGCGGGTGCAGGGTTGACTCTGGAGGCTGTAATCTTAAAGAGTGAGACCATCTTCCAGCTGCTGGCCTGCAAAGATGAGCTCTGTTGGCCAGGGCGGGGATGCCTTCTTTATCCTGGCGCTGGCCCTCACATTATCCATGGCATCACTGGGTTCCATGTTGATGGTCTTGCAGCTCAAGGTCTTCAGAGGATTGCCTTTTGACCTGTTAGTGAAGGAGAAGATACTGTAAATCACCAACCAGGTCAAGTCACCTCAAAGCCAACACCCTCCCACTAGACAATGCCAGTTGTCTCTGAAAGAGTTGCACCTTTTGTGCCAAATCTCTTTGTTGTTTTGTTCTTTCTCAGCCACCAAAGCTATTCCAGCAGTTCATGCTTCACTTCACATCCACTCTCCAGGCGACACTCTCCTAGGCGACGCCTGGCCTTCTCACTTTCCCTCCCTGCTCCAGTTCTTCAGGCATGTCGCCTCTGCCTGATCCCCAAACAGCTGTAATAAATCAACCCTAAGTGTAACACAGCTCGCAAAGGTTCTGTAAACTGTTACATACATTTAATACATTGTTTGCGGGTGGTTTTTATCACGCGCTAACAGGTGGCTCTACTTCTTACAGTCAACGTAAAACGTATAAATACGTTTCCCGCATACTTAAAATACTCTGCTTGGTGTTCACAGCCCTTTTTAGCCTAGTTCTTCTCCATCAATTCAAATTTTATTTCTTATCCAGCCTCAGTTTTAATTTATATCTTCACTGACTATGGCTTACAAGATTAAAATTCTGTCTAAGCCCTTCTTTTGAGCAGTCGATTACTTCTTTCTCATTGCTGTCACTTTGAATGTGTTTCCATCGGAGAATTATTACATGGTGTTGTATTAATTTGTTTCATTTTCAGTCTTGGTCTGTGCACTCAGGTAGACTGAGTTCCTGAAAGTTGTGAACTCAGACACAATATCGTTGTGTCCCAGACACAATGCCTACACCGAACAGGCATTCAATAATTGCTTATTAACAGATGAATGAATGGAATGATGAATAGGTTGTTATGTCTAATTAACTGATAATGTAAACACCTTTGTTAATGCTTAACACATAGTAGGCCTTTGATCAATACTCCTTTTGCTTTGACAAATCTCTCTCTCTTTTACTTTTGGCATTTTTAAAGGTACCACTAGTTGAACAGCTCTTCCGTAAAGAGTTTCAAAAATTTTTGAAGAAATGGTATTGTATTACGAGAGTAAGTGGTGATACCCAAATGAAAATATCATTTCCAAAATTTGTCAAGTCCTATGACATTATTATCAGTACAGCTCAAATCCTTGAAAACTCCCTTTTAAACTCAGAAAAAGGAGAAGATGATGGTGTCCAGTTGTCAGGTTGGTTGAAGTATTTATTTTTGAAAAAATTAATTAATAGTAATTAGTATTAACATTAATGGTAGTAATTGAGGCTGTGTAAATGTTGATTTAAAAAGATTAACTTTGGTTTATATTATCTTTTATTCATTAAGTTTTCATTAAAACCCTTTTACTTCTTTTTGGAAACAAAAAAATTGAAAAGTTTTTAATTAGAACACTGTTCTGCATAAGAATATCATTATTACATCAAATAACCACTATACTTTCCATTTACTTCTTAATTCTAGGTACTGACAAGTTCTTTTTATATGCTAGTGTATCCTGTTAGATTTGCCTTCTGCTCCATAGAACAGATATATAATCTTTTCTTTTTTTGTGAGGAATTAGAAGAGAAGGTGAGAGAGGAAGGGAAATACGTACAAATAATCACAATAATTAAATGCAATGTTAAAACATGCCAAAAATTTCCCTCTTTGAATAGAGTAGTTTTAATTTGACATAATAAATGCAAAATTCACCCACTTAAAATTAAACATTATGCCCTAACCGGTTTGGCTCAGTGGATAGAGCGTCGGCCTTCGGACTGAAAGGTCCTGGGTTCGATTCCGGTCAAGGGCATGTACCTTGGTTGCGGGCACATCCCCAGTAGGGATTGTGCAGGAGGCAGCTGGTCGATGTTTCTCTCTCATCGATGTTTCTAACTCTCTGTCCCTCTCCCTTCCTCTCTGTAAAAAATCAATAAAATATATTTTAAAAAATTAAACATTATATTAAAGAACAAAAGCATAATCTTGAGAATTTTGGACAATAAACTTAGTGGGGTTTTTTTGTTTGTTTGTTTTTCTTTACTGTACCTTGTTGGTATGGACAAATGAACCATTTGAATTTTCTTTTAAGACTTTTCCCTCATCATCATTGATGAATGCCACCACACCAACAAAGAAGCCGTCTATAATAACATCATGAGGCGTTATTTGAAACAGAAGCTGAAAAACAATAAGCTCAGGAAAGAGAACAAACCAGTGATGCCTCTACCTCAGATCCTGGGACTAACAGCCTCCCCAGGTGTCGGCGGGGCCACCAAGCAAGCCAAAGCTGAAGAACACATCTTAAAAGTAAGTTACTCACTTTATGTATAAACAAGAGAACCAACGTTTAAAGAAATACCAGTACTTCTTGGGCTTTATTATTTTAATGTGTGTGTTTTTTAATTGACTTCAGAGAGAGGAAGGGCAAGGGAGAGAGCGAGAAACATCAATGATGAGAGAGACTCATAGATCGACTGCCTCCTGCAAGCCCCATACTGGAGACCCAGCCCCCAACCTGGGCATGTACCCTGCCCAGGAATCGAACTGTGACCTCCTTGTTCATGTGTTGATGCTCAACTGCTGAGCCACACCAGCTGGGCTTTTTGTTGTTGTTGTTTTAAGTAAGTTCAGGTTCAAGTGCCATCAAGTGCATTAAAGGAGGTATTCCAGGATCATCAGTTAAGTAAAATCTATTTGCTTTAGTTAAAGTAAGTATATTCAGTTTTCTACAAAACAGTAATATGCCTTAATAAACAATGATGACAGAACAAATCACCAAGATTATGGAAAGCTGATATAATTAATGAAATGTGGGGGCAAATTGAATACCTTATTTTAAATATCTCCTCCTAGTGTAAAAGTTAATGACGTATTTGATATTGGGATATAAATAAAGCTATAAATGTTTCTTATTTTTATACTCAGTGAATTTCAAATTATGTCTTTGCTGCTAACTTCTTTGTTCTGTGTAATTCTCAGATTCTGGGTAATCCAAATTAAATAGGAAACTGGGGACATGCAGATCTGTAATTAAAAACGTATTACTCATCGGCTGCCCCCAAATGGTAACAACACGTAAAGTACTCTTGTTGATCGCAAGTGTTAAATGAATTCAAAATAACCCAAGAAGTGTGTTGACATCAAGGTCAATTGCATTTGTATTTTTAAGTCCCTATTTTAATTTGAATACAGCAAAAATCATGTAGAGTAGACAGAAGTACAATTATTGGCTCCAAGAGATATTTTATTGCTGGGATTAAGGACAAATTCTAATCTAGATCTGGGCACATGGGCTTCAGCTGCTCCTAGCTTCATACTGTAGAAGAGGGTGGTAATATGATCCACGGATGTCAAAATGACCTTTAAAATGCCTCATGCAATATGGTTTTCTCATTAACATTCTCTGCTAATCTCTGCAAGTTGCTACACTCCTTCCGTGTCAGTTTTTCCAGCTAGAAAATAGAATGTAAAGAATGAAAATAAACACGCTTTTCTGGTATTATCCACCAACTTGATTTAGAAGCTTCTTTTTACTTTATCAGGACAAATGTTGATTATTGGTTAATCAGATCCACAGTAAAGCAATACTAAAATGCTATATATACACAAAAAACCCCTACATTGAATCAATTCTGAGAGAGAAAACTAATTATTTAACTATTGAAAAATGTTTCTTTTCCAGATATGTGCCAATCTTGATGCATTTACTATTAAAACAGTGAAAGAAAACATCTGTCAACTTAAAGAACAAATAAAAGAGCCATGCAAAAAGTTTGTCATTGCAGATGACACCAGAGAAGTATGTGTTTAAAATGTCATTTTAATTGATTGCTGTTATCATACTCAATTGAAAGATGCAAAGATTGTATATTTGCCACCGGAATAATATTGTTTTAAATTTTTAGCAAAAAAGTTACAGTTTTGTATTTGTTTATTGAGGTTAGGCCATAAAGCACTGCTGTGAATTTTCTTTTCCATCCTTCTTTTAGTTTTCCAGTTCACAGAGAGTAGCTCAGTAACTGATGGACTAATATGAGCCATGGGGAGCCGGGGTAGGTAAGGGTAGGGAAGGTGACATAGCTAAACTAGAGGAATTATACCATAGTTTGTTCTATCTTTTTCTTTTCTTTTTTTTTTAACTTTCTTGGTGAATTCCAGGATCCGTTTTCTGACATTCCACAGAGCCATTTTGTTGCTACCAGATGACTGTTGGCAATGATCATGGAAATCCTATCTAATTTGCATATTTACTTTCTTAGAAACACTGACATGGCAAAGAAGTGAAATACTTTGATTGTGCTTTTTAGATGACTGTGACCAGTGCATATGTCAATACTTTTGTAAAATTTACAAAGCATGATAAGTTTTACCTATATGTATTTGATAGTAAGAAACAATCATTGAAAAGATGCCTCATAAGGATATTAGGATTAAGTGATATGAAATATGCATAATAAATAATATTGTGTTTGAAATGTAGTAGGCACTAAACTAATTAGTGACCATTGTCCATTGGTCAGTTGCATGATTTGTTGTGTGTGTGTGTGTGTGTGTGTGTGTGTTTTAATTCTGGAAGAGTTCTTATCTATTCCAGCTGAACTAGCACATTTGATATACTTTATTTCCCTTCACTTTTTTTTATTATGATTTTTTTCTTTATTGTCTAAAGTTTTACATATGTCTCCTTTTTCCCGAGTTGACCCCCCCGCTCCCAGCCATTCCCACCCCGGGCAAGCCCCCACTGCCCAGTGTCTGTGTCCATTTTCCCTTCACTTTTGTTATTCAGTTTTACTTGATAAGTTTAAATGCACTTTTCTACTTACAACATTCTTAGGACATTTTTATTTTTATTTTTATTTTTCAGGGAAATGGGCTGGGATTAAATTGCTGGATGTGACTTAAATATATATATAAATGGTATATATATATATATATATATATATATAAATCTGCCACCTAACTTTTAATTTTTAGTATACTTTTTATTGAAATATAACACACATAAGAAAGTACAAATTTTAAGTGTCTAATATAGACCGCTGAATTTTCATAAACAGAACACACTTGTGTAACCCAAATCCAGATCAAGACAGAATATTGCCAGCACCCCAGAAACTCGTCATTCCCCCCCTCCAGTCACTATACCCTGACTTTTAACACCAAGGATGGATTTTGACTGATTTTGAACTTTATATGAATGAAATCATACAGTAAGCAATTTTCTGTGTCTAGCTTTTTCTAAAATTCTCTTCACTTTTAATTCTGGTATAATGCTGAAACCAGTTCTTCCAAGAGAAATGTCTCTTAAATTGGATTGTAGGCTTTCTAATTAATTGTGGCATTACTATAATGTTTTTTAAAATTAGTGTTAGCATCCAATATTATCACTCATTAATTTTCTTTAGTAAAATTTTAAAAATATTGATTTCAGAGAGGAAGGGAGAGGGAGAGATAAAGACATCAATGATGAGAGAGAATCATTGATTGGCTGCCTCCTGCATGCCCAACAATGGGGATTGAGGCCACAACCCAGGCATGTGCTCTTGACTGGAACTGAACCAAGGACCCTTCAGTCTGCAGGCCAGTGCTCTATCCACTGAGCAAAACCAGCTAGGGCTTTTTAATAAAATTTTTAAATTGGAAATTCCAGAAGTGGTACAGGGTGTTGGTGTGGATGTGTCTTGAGATAGAGACTCTTAAAAGAAAAAACAATAAAAAATAAATGTACAAAGAGGTGATCAGAGATTAACTTACTACTTTGCCTAGACAAAGAATCTGAATCAAATTTATTATAACACTAGAGGCCTGGTGCACAAATTCGTGCACGTGTGGGGTCCATAGGCCTGGCTGGCAATCGGGGCCTGCCAGCCTGGGGGAGAGATGGGGGAGGGACTGTGGACCCAATGGGGCCTGCTGCTGGGGAGGGACGAAGCACGGGAGGTTGGCCGCCAGCCCTGAGGAGGGAGCCTGCCATTGGCCCCCCCTTGGTCAGGAGAGGAGGCGACGGTCACCAGACCGGGTGCAGAAGGAATGGATGTTGGACGCCGATGCAGGCGCCCCACCACCGTGCTGTTCCCTGCCTCCCCCCTTCTCCCTCCCTTGCCATCATGCCACCACTGCCTTGGGAAGGTGGTGGGTAGATCGGAGTCTGCCAGCCGAGGGGAGGGACACAGCATGGGAGGTTGGCTGCCGGCCCCAAGGAGGGAGCTGGCCCTCAGCCCCCCTGGGGAAGGAGCCACCCACCCCCGGTTCCCCATCCCAGCCCTGGGCCAAAGGCCCCAGCGGGGTCAGGAGAGGAAGCAGTGGTCACCGGGCCAGCTGCAGAATGAATGGATGTTGATGCTGCTGGCCAACCACTAGAGCAGTGGTTCTCAACCTTCCTAATGCCATGACCCTTTAATACAGTTCCTCATGTTGTGGTGACCCCCAACCATAAATTATTTTCGGTGCTACTTCATAACTGTAATTTTGCTACTGTTATGAATTGTAATGTAAATATCTGATATGCAGGATGTATTTTCATTGTTACAAATTGAACGTAATTAAAGCATAGTGATTAATCACAAAAACTATGTAATTATATATGTGTTTTCCGATAGTCTTAGGCAACCCCTGTGAAAGGGTCATTCGACCCCCAAAGGGGTCTCGACCCACAGGTTGAGAACTGCTGCACTAGAGATTGGCTGTGGGAGTGCACTGACCACCAGGGGGCAGCTTTTTCATTGAGTGTCTGTCCCCTGGTGCTTTTTTTTTTTTATATATATTTTATTGATTTTTTACAGAGAGGAAGGGAGAGAGATAGAGAGTTAGAAACATCGATGAGAGAGAAACATCGATCAGCTGCCTCCTGCACATCTCCCACCAGGGATGTGCCCACAACCCAGGTACATGCCCTTGACCGGAATTGAACCTGGGACCCCTCAGTCCGCAGGCTGACACTCCATCCACTGAGCCAAACCGGTTTTGGCTCCCCTGGTGCTTTTATATATATAGATGGGAATTATTTTCACAAAGATAATGTTATTCCTTTAACAATATAAACATCTAAGAATAAGTGTATAACTTACTTTTAGGATCCATTTAAAGACAGACTTCTGGAAATAATGACAAAGATTCAAACTTTTTGCCAAATGAACCCAATGCCAGATTTTGGAACTCAACCCTATGAACAATGGACCATTCAAATGGAAAAAAAAGGTAATTGGGGTTTTGATCTAACATTTAGTTTATCCCATGTTTATGCCAAGATTTCAGATGACTATATCACATATTCCCAAGAAAACTGAAAGCAGATGGAATTTCTGTGTTCTAAGTAGGACGAGGTTAAACATCCTAATTCCTTATCTAAGGAAGGCGGCATCAATTCATCCAGTTTCTTTTTATCACCAGTCTTTCACTTATTGTATATTTAAAATATTAAGATAAAAATTAACAACTCTGTCTCCAGTTGCAAGCTCAACTAATATGTTTGTTTTTTTATGCCATTCCTCTGACTCAGCTTGGATCAGGTATGTGTTCTTGCTGATGCAGAACTCTAACAGCAAGTGTCAGAGTTGGAAAACTTGCCCCCTTTTTAAGCTCTCGGCATATTTTGAGTCTTGCTTTCTCATTTCAGAAACAAGGTGAAACCTATTTTAGAGTCGTATAATAAACATATTTAAGTCCACAGCACAGTGTTAAGGGGGGTGTTTGATCATTATTTCACTCTACATACTGTATTCTTTCATAGCTGCAAGAGAAGGAAATCGCAAAGACCGTCTCTGTACAGAACACTTGAGGAAGTACAATGAGGCCCTGCAAATTAATGACACAATCCGAATGATTGATGCCTATAATCACCTTGAAACTTTCTATAAAGATGAGAGAGAAAAGAAGTTTGCAATCCGAGAAGATAGTGATGAGAGTGGTGACAATAGCGATGATGGTGATGAAGGTGGGAATGATGGCAAGAAACCTTTGAAACTGGATGACACCGATAAATTTCTCATGGATTTATTTTTTGGTAAGAATCAATGTGACATTTATTGCATGGTCTAATGCATTTTACCTCTTTGGTGTGAACTGTTGCTTTTTAAGGGCTCTCCAAAAGGCCCTCTTAACATATTTCATTTTGAAAGGAGAACTCCTACTCATATTGGGGCTATTTCTAGTTGATATGACCAGAGTAGCCATGAATTGTATGATCACAATCACTAATTTGATCATGTGAATTTTGGTCAAGATGACTGCAATACATTTATTAATTTTAAACATATTTTTATTGATTTCAGAGAGGAAGAGAGGGAGAGAGAGATACAAACATCAGTGATGAAAGAGAATCATTGATGGGCTGCCTCCTGCATGCCCCCTACTGAGGATTGAGCCAGAAACCTGGGCATGTGCCCTGACTGGGAATTGAACTGTGACCTCCTGGTTCATAGGTCAATGCTCAACCACTGAGCCATGCTGGCCGGGCACATTTATTAAGTAGCCTGATTATTAGCTATAGATAAAAGATTAGCTGTAATTGAACTCAGTGCATCGTTACATAAAATCTTCCCCTGTAAGCATATATTTTACTAATTTAAACTAATTATTTTTAAAGATAACAAGAAAATGTTGAAGAAACTGGCTGAAAACCCACAATATGAAAATGAAAAGCTGACCAAATTAAGAAATACCATAATGGAACAATATACAAGGACTGCGGGGTCAGCAAGAGGAATAATTTTCACAAAAACACGACAGAGTGCATATGCCCTTTCCCAGTGGATTACTGAAAATGAAAAATTTGCAGAAGTAGGAGTCAAAGCCCACCATCTGATTGGAGCTGGACACAGCAGTGAGTTTAAGCCCATGACACAGGTATAAACACCTTTTGGGACTGCTAATCTTATACTGTCATTACTCTTCACAAACTACTTGTTGTCTTTCTTTTCATCAATTCCCTCACCTCCCCACAAATAATTTTATGGAATGAAGCATTTGTTCTTGAAGTAAAATGTGAGTTTCATAGCAATCTAACCTGTGGTATTTGATAGGCTAAGCATTGTCCTAGGAGTCATTTTTACCCACATACTTGAAGGAACTTTCTAAAGTGAGTTTCCTTTGCAAAAATGATTGACACTGAAACTTAGAAACAAGATAGAAAAAATGGTTGCAATATAATTATCAAGTGGAAAAATCCAGTCTCCTCAAACATATGTGCATTATAATTAGAACTATGTAAAATATGTTTGCATAGCATGAGATCTGTAAGGGAACTTGGAAAATTTTAAGACATTTGATGTGTTAGAGATTTGGGATTATGAGAGCTTTTCCTTTTTAATTTTTTTTGTTTTGTTTTGTTGTCATTTCATTATGCTACCTCTCATGTGCACAGTAAAAAACACTTGGGAGAGAAAAAAGGCACTTGTAGACGTTACACGCATGTGGCTTGTTTGAGTAAAATATTCTCCTAAAGTCATATTATTCCCAAATCTTGCTGGACAACAGGGCACTTCAACTCTGATATGGTCATCACCATTTGGTCCAATGGAGCAAATTAAATTTGTTTCAGCGTTTGCTGAAAAGAAAGTTCTTGAAATTGTCCACTATAACTCTTAACATACTCTCTAGATCAGCGGTTCTCAACCTGTGGGTCGCGACCCCTTTGGGGGTCAAATGACCCTTTCACAGGGGTCGCCTAAGACCATTGGAAAACACATATATAATTACATATTGTTTTTGTGATTAATCACTATGCTTTAATTATGTTTGATTTGTAACAATGAAATTGGGGGTCACCACAACATGAGGAACTGTATTAAAGGGTCGCGGCTTTAGGAAGGTTGAGAACCACTGCTCTAGATGGACTCATGTTAAAATTGCCTCTCAAATTAATTCCAGAGAAAGCATTTGTTTTTATGGGTGAGGAGCTTGCTTCTTTGTGATGAGAGCTAGTTTAGTTAATATGTTTCTCTTTTTGCCTTAGATTCTAGGAGTCTTACAGGAAAAACTGAAGTTTAGTCTCATAGCCTCTGTATTAATTCTTACAAGTAATACGTCTATAGTTGGTCACTTTTGGTCCTGTTTTTATGTTTCTATTATATTAGTTTGAGTGCGATGACTTTGTATATGGCCTCAGTTCCTCTTTGAAAAAAAGGTGAAGTGCAAATGGAAAGTATATTTTCAAGCTACTTTTTGCTACTTACTCATTTAGGACTTGGGGGCTGCATGCGAATATAGCACACACCCCTTTCCTCACTCCCCACAGCCTCACCTTGTAAACTGAGCTGAACTTCCTGGGAGAGAAGTTGCCTAACTCTTGATGGTTGGTTTTGTTGTTGTTGTGTTTTTTTTTTTTGGGGGGGGGGTTGTCTAACACTGTGTCTAAAGTTCTTTTTATTAAAGTTACATCTTCTGTTAAAATCCAAGGACATGTACGTTTTTATCAGTAGACATATGAGCAAGAGGGAGAAATTATCCGAGAAGACTGGGTAGGGAGCTCTCTGCAGGATTCTGCAGCAGCTAAGAGTCAGATCAAGGCACATGCTGCCTCTGAGAAGAAAGGAAGGGATGGGAGAACACTGTCAGTCTGACATGTTTATTTTTGCTTAAAGTATGGGGGCAAGAGATAGTGTGAATGTGCACCATCGGCAAACTGGACCAACAGCTTTGATGGGAGTGATTATGAAAATAAAACTATGCTAGCCATATGGGGCTGGTTTATGCTCCCCCATTCCTCTGATGCAAGGGCCAGAAAGCATAATTAATTTCTGTATTTATGTTAACTTTCAGAATTCAGATTTTTGAACTTAAATATAATTGTTTTAATTGTGTTTTGGTAACTTATTCTTTCATGTTTATTTGTGCCATCCCTTTGAACAGAGAATAGATTTACTTCTTTGAAAACTAGTAAGGCAGAGGGCCCATCACTGTCCTCCAGTTTTCCAGCTCCCTCTTTTGCAGGCATCCAATGTTTTCAGTTCCTCACGTGTCCTTCCAGGAATATTCCACACGTTTCTGGCTTGAATGCCTCTTAGTGTGACCAAGTGTGCACAGTGTGTATTTCTTGATGACTCAAGACACAACCATTTTTATAAGTGTCACTGCATGCTATGCTTTGAATATTAAAGATTCTGAAGTTAATGTAGTGAAAAGCAAAGCCCATTTAAGTTCCTCATCTCTTCCTTTCTTCCCCCCAAGTTGCCCATCAGTTGATTTCCTTGGCATAAATGATCTCCCCACCTCCAGACTGGAAGATGGAAATATTTTTGTTATTGTGTGATAATCCCAGATTGGAAATCAAATGTTGTCTCACCATCATGTCTTTGTTCAATGACAAAAACAGATGGCATCAAATCATGTCTGATCTAATCCTTTGATTTACACTGACCAGTTGCAATTTATTATTTCTTCTCCTAATTAGATGATTTTAATGTGGTTAGCATCACAAAATTTAATTTATTAAAATGTCTCTACAGAATGAACAAAAAGAAGTCATTAGTAAATTTCGCACAGGAAAAATAAACCTGCTTATCGCTACCACAGTGGCAGAAGAAGGTCTGGATATTGAAGAATGCAATATCGTTATTCGTTATGGTCTCGTCACTAATGAAATAGCCATGGTCCAGGTACATTCAAATACCTCTAATCTATTAATTTTTTAACTTTGTTTTCTATTAATTTTTAAATTTTGTGTTCTTATTTTATTTTAGTCGTTCTATTTAGTAAAATCGCACACATGGCTTTTAAAAATATAGCTGTTTTCCTATGAAAAGAGAAATCATCTCACAATGTATACAAATATCGAATCATTATGTTGCACACCTACAAGTAACACATGTCAATTATACCTCAATGAAACAAAAAGAGAGAAATCTTGAAGGGCTGTGCACTACTGCCTTTTGTATTGTTTAATTCATATTACAGCCAGATACCTGTTGTCTTTTTAAACAGCAACTCTTCTTTGGTTGTTATTTCTGTGTCTTAAGACTTTTTAGGAACATGGCACTTGCCCCATCTGTAAGAATCAAAGTAGGCCTTCTTATTCCCAGGACGTCTGTGAGCTCCCAGCTGGACCAGGAGTCTAAAGCACAGCATCCCACGAATGTCCAACAAAGTAACACGTGAAACCTTAGGGAGCCCTGCTGTTTCTGCATTTTCCTTTTTTATTCTTTCAACTTCTGTATGTTTAAATTTTTTCATAATAAAATGGTGATGGGTGGGAGGTATATATATATATATATATATATATATATATATGCAAAGAAAGAGAAAAAAGTGCAATGTCCCAGTTTTCATTCAATTTTACTTTATCTTTTGCCCACATTATGTTAACAATACAATTGTTACCTTTTGTTGAGTAAGCATAGGAGTTGTTGCTTAATATTCTTCCCATAAAAGTAACAAAAGGGTTGTTTTATACTTTAAATTGCATCTTGAATGGAAGACAAGTCCTGGAGGACTAAGATCACTAGGCAGGCACCAAATCAGGAAGTAATTCTATTGCAGGAGTTGATTTGTTAGTTGTTTGTTACTCAGAATGCATTTTTCATGAGCATAGTATTAGAGTTGATAGGTTCCTGGGCCAGGCCACACAGTTTTCTGTTACTCACAATGTATCTGAATATCACTTTATAAAGAGGGCTATGGAAGTTTATCACCATGTGGAGTGTGTTTTCATGGGGAAATGTGTTCAAAATCCAATGTAAAGTGCTGGGAGAGAGCTGCACGCTCCAGGCCCTGGTGTCAACGTCAGAGAGGCCCCTTCTCCTCATCCATCCATCCATCCATCCTCACTGGTGGGAGGGTGTGGGCTCCCCTAGTCCAAATCACTGCTGATGCTTCCTAGGGTTTGAGAGAGGGACCCCAGGGTACCAAAAGGCTGGACAGGATGGTATTGTGTTACCGAGGCTTTTGAGGGGGTTGTGTGGGGACCTAACCATCATCATTCAAGAACATTGTTTCTGCCATCAAGTGCATTCTGAGTTTCAAATAATGGACTTCTAAAGAATGGATAATAGCTAACGGTACTGACAATTAAGAGAGCATTCAAAGGCTGGGACACTGAGCAGTGAATATCATTCCAGGACAAAAAAGGGAGAGATCTCAGCAAGGCAGAGCCTTTCTTTTACGTGACTTCCCTCTGTCCTCAGGCCCGTGGTCGAGCCAGAGCCGATGAAAGCACCTACGTCCTGGTTGCCCACAGCGGCTCCGGAGTTGTTGAACGTGAGACAGTTAATGACTTCCGAGAGCAAATGATGTATAAAGCTATAGACCGTGTTCAAAATATGAAGCCAGAGGAGTATGCTCATAAGGTACTGTTTGGGGGCCTCTCCGAATTTAGTTTTCACTTTAAAATGGCTGCATGTGGTTGACCATCGATATCTTTGTGGCTGAGTCTCCAGACAGAAAATGTGCCGAACTATGAGTTCCAGTCTGATGAGCTACACTTAGTCCAGATTCCCATACAAAGAATCAGGATCCCTACTGGCCAGGGATTGTCAGGGAACCATTCCAGCAGAACCAGCCATAAACTTCGGTAATGTAAATTTAAGCTGCGCTCAATCCGGAAGGACTAGTGTAACTCATCCATTCAACCCAACCTAGTAATTCTGGTTTGGTTCAATCTGGTTGCACAGGCATTTTTTTTTCTTCATTCCAGAAATATTTATGAAATGCCTCCTGTGTTCCAGGGAACGTTCTAGAAATAGAAAACAGATAGACAAACAACAAAGATAGGCCCCTGCAGCATGAAGCTTATATTCTAATGTGTACATAGTGAGATTTGAGGATTTGAAGAGGAGAAATAATAAACAGAAATGAAGCAAGAACTATATCATGTAGAAACAAGTGCTGGAAAATGAGAAAGGGATGATGTGGAAAAAGTCACTAGATAGGTACTTTAGATGGAATAGTTGGGATAGGCCTCTTAGAGGGAGTGAGTCTAGGCTACATCTCAATAAAAAGAAAATACATATTATGTCATCTAGCAGCATCTCCGTTTACTAACATAGAGTTATTTGGGTGGTGAGAAGAATGCCGTGAAAGAAGAAAGTATTTCTGCAATATTTCAGGAAATCCCCCATACCACTGAATTAAAGACTGTAAGTACTATAATAGCAAACAATCCATTTAGAAGAAAATTCACACCCTTGCATATGGGTGTGAATGTTAGTTTCTTAACATTGGAATTGGCTCTACCCTAAATAGAGTTTCACGAAAGGGTTGCTTTCAAATTGGTGTGCATTGCTATAACCAACTCCAAGGTTTCCTGGCCAGGTTTCTACACAAACTTGTATTTTAAAACCCTTTTAAAATATAAGGCAAACCAAACATGTTGTAGTGTCAAATCAAGCATTTGTGGCCAAATAATGTCACTGGAAAGTTACTGTCTTACATTTAATGTCCTAAATGAGTGAGATCAAGTGGCTGTTTTCAAAAATTGATGTTTCGAGACTAGTTGTTTTGGGTAAACTCTAGAGCAACCTCTGGAGTTTGAGTCCATTTTGTCCAGACAATATCTAGAATAAGACACAGACCCTTTAGGGACTCCAGAATGGACTATCTTTTTAGGTCTCTTTTGACTAAGTCAGTGGTTCTCATCCTTGGCTGCACATTAGAATCACCTGGGAATCTTTTTAAAATCCTGATTTCTGGGCCCCATCCTCCGGAAATTCTGTTCCTTTGTTACTAATGTTGTGGCACCACCCCATAACAAAGAAACAGAATTTCCGGAGGTATGAGCCCCAGAAATCAGGATTTTAAAAAGATTCCCAGGTGATTCTAATGTGCAGCCAAGGTTGGGAACCACTGAATTAGAGAATCCTCCGCATTTACTCAGTGCTGGGTAACTGCAAATTAATGGTAAGAGCTGACACATAGGTGAGTTTCCATGTCTTATACAAACTTTATACATAACTGAAAGCTTCTAAAATTGGAGACCTTAAACTTTGCCCTGGCATTGACCCAACAACTTTTACTACAGCATTACATTTTATTTGGACTTTTTCTTTCTTAAATCTTTATTGTTGAAAGTATTACATAATTCCCCTTTTTCCCCCATTGACTTCTCCTAGCCCGCCCCTGCCCACCCCCCCCCCACCCCAGGCCTTCACCACCCTACTGTCTGTGTCCATGGATTATGCATACATGCACACAGGTTCATTGGTTGATCTCTTCCCTCCCACCCTCCCCTGCCTTCCCTCTGAGGTTCAACAGACAGTCTGATTGTAGCTGTGCCTATCAATTATCATAATTTCTTTTTCCCCCTCTAATTATTTTATTATATGCCTTACTATTTTAGGGCTAATCTTTTAGTTTATGGTGTCCTGGTTACATATCCATACATTGATCTTAGTTTTACTTTTATTTTCCCATTGAACTCATAGGTATGTCTTAATTGCCCACATATATGTGATCCTACGCCAAATCATCATTTAATCAGCTCACTAAACCATCGATATCTCTCAAGAACAACTGGAATCAGAGTACTTTAATTGATTATGTTGAGTTTTTTTTTTATTGATTTCAGAGAGGAAGGGAGAGGGAGATAGAGAAACATCAATGATGATAATCATTGATTCATTGCCTCCTGCACGTCCCCTCCTGGGGATTCGAGCCCACAACCCGGGCATGTGCCCTGACCAGATTCCAACTGTGACCTCCTGGTTCATGAGTCAGTGCTCAACCATTGAGCCACACCAGCGAGGCTAATTTATTATATTGTTATAATTTTCATAGGAAATTAGTCTTTGTACTTGTCTGATTAAACTATTCGATAGCCTGCTTGTTTGCTTGTAAGGAGTTGTTCTTCTCTTTGCAAATATGGCTACCCCGAGTCAAGGCCCAAAACAGAGAGGCAAGAACCAAAGAGATGGGCCATTCAGCTTCGTTCATCAGCACTGATACTTTACTTTCACTGAAAACATAAAAGTTTTCGCTAGGTCTTAAGGAAAACAATGGTTTCCTCCACAATTTAATACAAATTGGCCATTTAGAAGAGATTCAGTTTGGAGGTATATTATTTAAGAACCACGTTTTTCTCCTGTGAAGTTGTGTAAGTGTGAGAACTAATCAGTCCCTACTTCAGGTTTTCTGCCTTTGATAAACTAGATGGTTTATGTGATGAAATAAGTTTGGCCTCTAGTCACAGAGCCTGGAATGCATGGAATAAGGGCTTATTCTCTCGAATCAAGAATGTGGACAATCTAAAGTCATATGACAGCTTCATGACATTAGGAGGACCTCAGGCCTCTTCTCTGTCTTCTCCACCCTTTAGTACTTGGCTTCCTTTCTCAGGGTCAAAGATAGCTTTTGGAATTTTAGCTGCCACATGCTCATTCTAGGAAGGAAGGAGGAAGAAGATGGAAAAGGCAAAAGTACACATACATAGTAGAAACACCACTTAACATTTTCTTGTCTCCTTGACCTCTAGCTTGGAAATATAGTCATTTAGCTAGCATATTTCCACCCAGAATAAAATTATGGTTCTGTTCCTAGGAAAAATGGCTACTAGATTGTAAACTGGTAGTTTCTGTTACAAACATGAAAAGAAGAGATGTCGCTAAGGAGATTTGCTAAGATAATGAAGCATCTAGAAATTAAATGAGAAACAACGAAAGAAACTGGGGGGGGGGGTTGTCATAGATAAGAGAAGACTATGGGTGATGCAATAACAATGTTTAGTTCTTAAAGAGATTCATATGGAAGAAAGTTTATATTTCTTTTATGAGATAATTAAAACGAGGTGGGTAGATGGGGAGTTTTGGGGGTTATTTTATTTTTTTGCTAAATATTGCTAAGGACTTTCTCACAATAGAACTTTTTTAAAAATAGAAGGGTTTGGGTTTTGAGGGTCCCACATTTTCATGGTTACATGAAGGTCCATATACTAAGTTGTACATGGGCCATTGCCTCATTATTTCAACTTCTAGGACATAAACCAAGAGTATATTTTCACAACTATCTAAGTCTCTGAATTCAAGGATCTTACTTCAGTGAGGCAGCGAATAAATAAACCACAGAACACTCTTTTCTCGATGCAGATTTTGGAATTGCAGATGCAAAGTATAATGGAAAAGAAAATGAAAATCAAGAGAAGTAACGCAAAGCTTTGCAAGGAAAACCCATCGTTAATAAGTTTCCTCTGCAAAAACTGCAGTGTGGTCGCCTGCACTGGAGACTATATCCACGTGATTGAGAAAATGCACCATGTCAATATGACACCAGAATTCAAGTAAGTTCAAGGAGAGTCCACTTAAGCTTCTTTATAGGACGTGAAGCAGGTTGTATTGTAAACGTTCTTCCAAAATAGTACAAATTGAATTTATTATTTTCCAGAACTTTTTTTCTTTTAACTTCCCCAAATTGTATCTCTATTTCAAATGTCTACTTTTCAAATATACTGCACTGGGGAGGGAGGGAGAAGTGTAATAAGTACTTCAAGCCATTTTGACCCAAGGCCTATCAGTGTGTGTGTGTTCATATTTGTTCTCAAAGTTTTGAACAACTAAGTCAAGTTAAAATAAGTAGCAGATTGAAAGAAGCCACAAAAGGCAACATGCCCCTGGAGAGGTGGATGTGGAAGGAGCATCTGCCCGAGGATGAGTGTCAAGTTCAACAACGTGCACCTATGGGCTGCATAGTGGTCATTTGCAAATTCTCAGGGATGTTTCTTCCTTCTTGATAATTTTAGGGAACTCTACATTGTGAGAGAAAACAAAGCACTGCAAAAGAAGTTTGCAGACTATCAAACAAATGGCGAGATCATCTGCAAAACATGTGGCCAGGTGAGTAGATAGCTGTGGGTTCATTCCTACTTTGGCCAAAAGGAATTCTTTTTTTTTTTTTTTTTTAAATATTTTTTTATTTTTCGCTTAAAGTATTACAAAGGGTATTACATAAGTGTCCTTTTTTTTCCCCCCCGCCCTTGACACACCCCTACCCTCCCTTACCCCCCAGTGTCTTATGTCCATTAGTTATGCTTATATGCATGCATACAAGTCCTTCGGTTGATCTCTTACTCCCCTCCCTCCTGCCCCCCAACTCTCTCTGGCCTTCCCACTGCAGTTTGGCAATCAGTTTGAGGCAGCTCTGCCTCTGTATCTATTATTGTTCAAAAGTTTGTAATGGTCTTTATTATCCATGAATGAGTGAGATCATGTGGTATTTTTCCTTCATTGACTGGCTTGTTTCACTTAGCATAATGCTCTCCAGTTCCATCCATGATGTTGCAAATGGTAGGAGTTCCTTCTTTTTAACAGCAGCATAGTATTCCATCGTGTAGATGTACCACAGTTTTCTAATCCATTCATCTACTGATGGGCACTTAGGCTGTTTCCAGATCTTAGCTATGGTGAATTGTGCTGCTACGAACATCTGGTTACATATATCCTTTCTGATAGGTGTTTCTGGTTTCTTGGGATATATTCCTAGTAGTGGGATCACAGGGTCAAATGGGAGTTCCATTTCCAATTTTTTGAGGAACCTCCATACTGCCTTCCATAGTGGCTGCACCAGTCTGCATTCCCACCAGCAGTGCACAAGTGTTCCTTTTTCTCCACATCCTCTCCAGCACTTGTCGTTTGTTGATTTGTTGATGATGGCCATTCTGACAGGTGTGAGATGGTACCTCATTGTTGTTTTGATTTGCATCTCTCGGATGATTAGTGACTTTGAGCATGTTTTCATATGCCTCTTGGCTTTCTGAATGTCCTCTTTTGAAAGGTGTCTATTTAGATCCTTTGCCCATTTTTTGATTGGATTGTTTATCTTCTTTTTGTTAAGTTGTAGGAGTTCCCTATAAATTTTGGAGATTAGGCCCTTATCAGATATGACGTTGGCAAATATGTTTTCCCACGCAGTGGGGTTTTCTTGTTGTTTTGTTGATGGTTTCTTTTGCTGTGCAGAACCTTTTTATTTTGATGTAGTCCCATTTGTTCATTTTCTCTTTAGTTTCAACTGCCCTAGGAGCTGTATCAGTGAAGAAATTGCTTTGGCATATGTCTGAGATTTTGTTGCCTTTGGATTCTTCTAGAATTTTTATGGTTTCCTGTCGTACATTTAAGTCCTTTATCCATTTTGAGTTTATTCTTGTGTATGGTGTAAGTTGGTGGTCTAGTTTCATTTTCTTGCATATATCTGTCCAATTTTCCCAACACCATTTATTGAAGAGACTATCTTGGCTCCATTGTATGTTCATGCCTCCTTTGTCAAAAATTAATTGAGCATATTGGTTCGGGCTAATTTCTGGACTCTCTATTCTATTCCACTGGTCTATATGTCTGTTCTTGTGCCAGTACCAGGCAGTTTTGAGAACAGTGGCTTTGTAATACAGTTTGATATCTGGCATTGAGATCCCACCTACTTTGTTCTTTCTCAGGATCGCTGCAGCTATTCGGGGTCTTTTTTTATTCCAGATGAATTTTTGGAGAGTTCGTTCTAGATCTTTGAAGAAGGCCATTGGTATTTTAATGGGAAGTGCGTTGAATGTATAGATTGCTTTGGGTAGTATGGACATTTTAATGATGTTGATTCTACCAATCCAAGAACATGGTATGTTCTTCCATCTGTTTATGTCTTCCTCTATCTCTTTTTTCAGCGTCCTGTAGTTTTCTGAGTAGAGGTCTTTAACCTCTTTAGTTAAGTTTATTCCTAGGTATCTTAATTTTTTTGGTGCGATGGTAAATGGGATTGTTTTTCTAATCTCTCTTTCTGAAAGTTCACTATTGGTGTATAGAAATGCCTCAGATTTCTTGGGGTTAATTTTGTATCCTGCTACATTGCCAAATTCATGTATTAAGTCCAGTAGCTTTTTGATGGAGTCTCTAGGGTTTTGTATGTATAATATCATGTCATCTGCAAATAAGGACAGTTTTACTTCCTCTTTTCCAATTTGGATGCCTTTTATTTCTTCTTCTTGCCTAATTGCAATGGCTAATACTTCCAGTACTATGTTGAACAGGAGTGGTGAGAGTGGGCATCCCTGTCTTGTTCCTGTTCTTAGGGGAAATGGTGTTAGTTTTTGACCATTGAGTATGATGTTGGCTGTGGGCTTGTCATATATGGCTTTTATTATGTTGAGGTATGATCCTTCTATTCCCACCTTTCTGAGAGTTTTTATCAAAAATGGGTGTTGGATTTTGTCGAATGCTTTTTCTGCATCAATTGATATGACCATGTGGTTTTTTTCTTTCAATTTGTTTATGTGATGTATCACATTTATTGATTTACGGATGTTGTACCATCCTTGCATCTCTGGGATAAATCCTACTTGGTCATGGTGTATGATCCTTCTGATGTACTG